ATCATAAGTTCTAATTATTGAATGTGTTTCTTTGTTAGTTTATCATCATGAACTGAAACTAAGTCATTCATAATAAATATTATACATTCATTTTAGAACATGTATAATAAACTATAAAAAGTATAGTTTAATGGATTCATAACATTAATGCATTTCCATAAAAGAGTTCTTACATATTACAAACGTTTTAGATAAACTATAATAGGTATAGTTTATGATACATCACACAACACACTCGTACAAAAAGGGTACGTTCATACAGAAAAGATTTACATTCACACACATTTCACGTAAACTTGTTAACCTAAATTGTGAGACATTCTCTCCATGTACGTCCGAGTGCGGGATATAATTCCTGGTAGTTATAATCAGAATCTCCTGGAGGGAGAACATGATACTTGTATATACATTTATATTGGGTTTGACACCCCACACCTTGCTGCTAGCTACAGTGGGACCTGCAGGTCTACAGGTGACAAATGTCATTTCAGTTTCGCGACGCCTGAGAAACGTCGTGGCAGGTTTACATAGTCATAGTATGATTATAGCGACTCACATAGGGATATAACAATCCATAAAGTTTATGGGATTTTATTTATAAAACCTAAATGGGTTTTATGTTGATTTAAAATCACTTTTTATCTCAATGAGTACAGATATCACTTTACACTTTCGGTTTTGGTAAATTATGCCTACACATCATTTGAAACCACATTTATATCTTTAAGTATGGCCAATACTTGTTATTTCTCGGTCCTCGGATTTAGGACTACATATACATAAAGTATTAACAAACATAAGAAAATACGGAAATTTTCATTTAATTCAAACACGTTCATGTCCATTTAAACACATATCATTTTCTATTAGTAAGAGAGGTTACTTATACATTTTGGGTCTTTGGTCATAAGACTACATTACACAGATTTTAAAGAAAATATCGGATTTTCTGGATACATATTCTAACGCTTTTACAAGGAAAACGGTTTACTTTTCTAACGAAATCTCTTATGAACTTACCAACCTTTGTGTTGACACTTTTTCAAAACTACTTGTATTCTCAGGAATTCAGTGAAAACAGGAAATCAACAACGTTTTGAGGATGGGACGATAAATCATCAAACAGTTCATTTTGTATCATAATGTAATTGATGTGAATCATGTAAACAGGTACTCTGATTTAACTTTTTTTTTTTAATTATATTTGTGATGGTTGTATTTACTTTGAGCACTATTATACTCGTTGTTGTGATACTCTACATGAAGTCCTCCACCCCCAGACGTTTCCGCCATCCTTGGTTTGGGGGTGTGATAGCGTACTGGGGTGTACGCTCAGCGTACTTGTCCGCGTTCTGATCGTGAAGGATTGCCAAGTACGCGGGGTGTACCAATGTGTATGCGGGGCGTACCCGACCCAGAAGAGAAACCCTAACTCCTTGATCCTCCCTATTTAAGCAACCATATGGCCCTTTTATTGGCCACCCTTCCTAGAGCATTATCATTTCTAAACTCTAAATCTCATTCATATAGCAAGGAAGTGTCTAGGAGAGCCTTGTAGTGTGTTCTTGGCTATTTGGAGCAAAGGGAAAGCCTTGGAAAAGGAAGAGTTAGAGCTCAAGCTTGTGGATCCGGGATTAGTAATGAAAGAAGCTACATTTTGAGGTAAAAAGCTTCAAGCTTTACATCTTTTATGTTCATGCCTTGTAAGAGAAGTTTTAGGGTTTTTGTCCCCAAGTTGATAGCTTTATGAGTTAATGAGCTCTTAGAAGCCGAGATCTATCCCATGCTAGCTCATTTAGGGTTGTTATGTGATAAAATTCTAGTCTTGGTTGTCAAAAGTTGTTCATGCATGAGATATGGACCTTTAAAGGTTGGAAATGGGGTGGTTTAGGTGTTGGTGACTTCCACATCCATGTAAAGGCTTAAAGTTACTGACTTTATGGATTAAGTCGTATTAGAGAAGTCAGATCTGGAATTTAGATACAAGTCTTAACAGATTAAGACCCAAAAATCAAAGAAGACTGAAACTGGGAGTTACGCCGGGCGTAATCCTAGTACGCGGGGCGTAGGGGTCGCTTTCCCCGGTTTCTGTGAGGTTGTCGGGTATGCCCAGCGTACATGTCTGGTACGCGCAGCGTAACCCGGAGAGGGTTGACTTTTGTTGACTTTTAGGGTTTGGACAATATATGGGTAGTTGAACCATGGGAGGGGTATAATGGTCTTTTGCCCTTCTGAGAGTGCCAAGAGAGAGCTTAGTCTAGCCTTTGAGAGTAATATTGATTAGGGTGTTTATCCATGTGATTAGGCGGAGGCTAGACCAGATTTTACCGAGTCAGAAATATACCGAGACACCCGAGGTGAGTCTTCTCACTATACTTTACCTTGCGTAGGTAACCAGAGTTATGTGATAGAGTATCTTGTATTTTATCTATGTGATGTGTTGTACTGCATTATTTCTATGTGATTTATGCTGTGAGTATATCAGAGTTAGGACCGGAAGGTCCACAGAGCTAGGACTAGGGGGTCGACAGAGTTAGGGCCCAAGGGCCCACCAGAGTTATAGCCTTGAGTGGCTAATATGTGTTATATGTGGTATTTTAGGGAATTCACTAAACATTTATGCTTACAATGTTTTGTGTTATGTGTTTCAAGTACTAGTGACGATCGCGGGAAGGCGCAGGCATGATTCGTACACATACTCAGAGTTTTATATGTTCTTTTGATCTTGGGATATGTTTTATGAATTGAGATGTAATACATTGAGATTTTTATAATAAATTTGAATGGGAATGTGTTTTGAAAATACGAAAAATTGTTTAAATTTTTACGGTGTTACAGTTCGGTTCTGCTAGTGTTTTTGGCTCCTTGAAGATATTAAGGATGTTCTTGGTGGAAACTATGAAGATTTGAAGGTTTCTAATCGAATGTATGAACGTTCTTAGATGATCCTTAGGAGCAAAATGAAGGAGTTTTCGGGTGAAATGAGTGAGAAATGATCAAGTTTAAAAGAAAACCTTTATATCGGTTGGGTTTTCGACCGAAGATGGGTTCTCGGCCGAGAGCCGTTTTCGACCTGAGGGTTTTCGGCCGAAAACGCATAGCTGAACGAGTTTTGTTTTTTTCGAAGGAAAAGTTGATTTTTCAAGTGTTTTTGGTTCCGAACTTATAAAAAATTTATTTCTATAATTTAAATGGTTTTCTAACCCTTACGAGCTTAACGGAAAATATAAAATTCGAAATTTTATTTAACGGAATTGACTTTTGTTGACTGAAAAGTATTGGGTTGTCACACTTGGCGTTCATAGGTTTTGGGCCATGCTTTAGATTTTTAGTATCGAGCCTTAATGGGCCACTAGACTTATGATTTAGGCTTTTGACTAGTATATTGGGCTTCCTTGGATTTCAAGCCCATGATGGGGTTTTGGCCCAATTTAGAAGATTGAGCCATATTGGGCTTTAGGTTGCCATTTTGGATTTGGGCCTTCTTAGTTGTTGGGTTGGGCCTTGGTTTTGGGCTAAGTATGAAAAAGGGTTAAATGGTCTTTTACCTTTGTTATGGGCTAATTAGCTTAGATTCTTGATTATAGATTGAGATCGAATTATTAATTGGATGTTATTTCGATGATAATGATGATGCAGAGATTTTCTAAGACCAATAGACTGAGATTCATTTAAGTGTTTCGGTAAGACCGCTAGATGTGAGTTTCCTCATTTCGTTTAGCGGGTCAAAGGCACCAATGGTGGCCCATGGTTTGTTATATTTAGGATGCTAGATGTATATGTGATTCTTGCATATGTTATGTGTTTATAGGTTTATCAGATGGGTCTCGATGACCATTCTATATGCCATTTATCTATGTGATTATTGTATGTGTTATGCGTTTATCTATGTATATGTTTATATGTATAACGGGTGGGCGCCAATGACTGACATATCTATATACCGAGCGGGGTTGATGCCTGTCGTGGCCCGATGACGGTCGAGGCCTATTATATGTTTATTATGTATGGTATGTAGTATTCTAGGGAACTCACTAACCTTTGTGCTTATAGTTTTTAGCTTATGTTTTCAGGAACTTCTGGTACGAAGAGTAAGAGTTCGGGATGATTGCAGTACACACACCATCTTGTTCCGCAATTTATGTTACTTTGATGTATTGTGATGATGTTGATACACTTGTTTCACTATGACTTTTTAAAATTATGTTTTAGATAATAGTTATATTAATTTAAAAACAAAAATTTTTAGTTTTAATTTTGGGATGTTACACAAAAGAAGTTGTATATCAATCCATATATATTAGAAACACATATAATCAAAAACTTTAAAGGAAATCTATAGAAAAATCTCAAACTTTTAGAAAAATCTCAGTATTTTGAAAAATCATATAATTTGTCATTTGCTATTCAACTATAAAATATGACTTTCGTTAATTTGGGCAAAATGTTAAATAATCAGGATTTTTCTGTCAAAAACACATTTTTTGGTCTTTATTGAAATATTTACCAAAAGTTTGATACTTTTCTGTAGATTTTCCAACTTTAAATTCATATAGCTATTAAATTTGTTTTGGAAATGGATCGGCGTTAAGGAACTAAATTAATTCAAATATTCAAATCCAATAAAACGATTTTTTATCGGTTCTGTCACATTGGTTTTACCCGGTCTTTCTATGAAGGCTTCCAATTCCATCCACGCTAGAAATTTGCATAAAGTCGGTTTTACTTGAACCACTAATTTACTTGGGTCTAGCTTCGAACCGGTTCAAATCAGTTTTTAAAACATTTGTTATTATACCCTTAATATAAGAGTTTGCTGATTTTCGTGAGTATATTTGAGACATGAGTTCCAATTACAAATGATATATATATTTTCTTTTAGAGAGAAGGGAGCATGAATAGAACATTACTGATTTCAACCACATGATGATTTCTTTTAAATATATTTAATTAGAATTAGATAAAAGCATAGTTTACACATATTTTATACGAATAATACATCAAGGGCAGAATGTAATGAGATAATCAGGCCCTGTATGACATGTAAAAGTGCTTGTCTTATCGTCATAAGCATAACTATAAGCCTTTGGGCAAAGATTTTTGAAAAACTGGGAATAATTAGTTGGCGGACATGTCTCTGGTGTATTGTGATCGCCGCTGCAACAGTATTCAGGCTTGTTGAACGCCACACATGCACTCTTGCACCCGACTGTGCCACCAGATCCATCCTTCACAGCCAGCTCTGATGGACATTTAGCGTTAATATCAACAGGACAATCAGTGGTTGGACAACCCCCGCCTTGTGGAACCACAGACACCGGTAGATTAAAGCCATCAACAAGGCTAACATCGTAAAAATCTGTAGAACTCGCATCTGATAAGGTGAACTCAACTAGGGTTGCAGGTGGGATTGCACCGGCACCGTTGCATTCTACTTGACCAGAACCACAGTCTCCGCTGCTGCAACTGTAACTACCGCCGTCATTTGAACAGCCGGACCTGGCCCATACTCGTCCAGACCATGGTGCCGGCATGTTGATAGAGTTTGAGGCCTGCGGTTGCAGTTCAAATCCTGTTGATACTGATGCTCCACTGCCGGTCAAAGTTGCCGGTGCAATGGTGTATGGGCAATTGTTTTTTATTGTGAACACCGTTGAATGAACACCTACAAAATCATTGAATTGATAAGCATAATGTGCATGAGATGAAATCTTTAGCGATGAACACAGATTAAAGCTATGTCTATCTATATATACATATATGCATGAAAAAAGTGAATTTATACCATGGATGAAACTGATGGCTAGGGTAAGTAAGAAAAGAAGTTGAATCTCCATATTCACGAAGTTTGTTGAAGTGATATGGAAATGGTGGAAGGGGATTTGGGTTTTATAGTAGGAAGTTGTTGATATTAATTACAAATGGACACACTAACCGATAACAAGATTTAATTCCATAGAATAAATTACTCCGTGACAATTTTAATTGACATTAACGACTTCAAATTCATTACTAGTATTATGTAGTATTTGAAAAAATCTAATTTGGATTAGCCACAAACAAGGTCATAGATTAAATCTCTCACATATATATTAACGTACGAGTCGTTCTAAAAGAAATAGTATTTAAAGAATTAATTACTTGAAAATTTTGTGTGTTTTTTTATTTATAGTTTTTTTAATTGTAAGTGGTTTCTATTTTTAAAGTTTAACGATCATCAAAGTTTTGAATCATAAGAAAATATCAACCATAATATTTTTGGATTGCTATATCCTCCTTAATAAATAAAGATTTTTTTTACTACATATCTTCTTCTCCTTCATTTGGACACATGATATTTTGTAGAATTTTTAAATTTTCTATTTTCCACTTGTTATTTTATTGTAATTTTCATTTTATTAAATTAAAATTCAACATTTAATATGTAATATATATGTAAGGTATTTATTAAAAATGATTTATATATGTAATGTATTCAATGTATTAAAGTCTAATTAATTTTAATCATATAAATTTTTTCTCATTTTTCTTATAAATTCAAACTTCTCAAATTGTTAAAATTTCATATATATATATATATATATATATATAATATATATATATATATATATATATATATATATATATATATATATATATATATATATATATATATATATATATATTTTTTAATAAACTCATGTAATACATGGGTCTCACACCTAGTTTTGAATGATTTTGAATTATAGTATTTTAGATTACATTATTTTTTATCATATAACTTTAGACCATAATATATTAAACTAAATCAAGTTTTTTATTCATTGAAAATTTGAATAATTATATTTAGGCTTGTAAACGAATTAAATGAACACAAAAGATGGTTGTTCATGTTAATTTGTTTATGTTAGTCGAGCAAACGAACGAATAAAAAAAATGAGTTATTTCGTTCATATTCAATCTTTTAACAAATTACATTGTCCATGTTCATTCATTTATGTTCGTGAACATTTTAAACGAACATAAAAGAACGGAGATAAATAAACATAATTAAACATATATGAACATAAACAAACTTATAATATAATAATATAATCAAACACAATTGAATACATACAAACATAAAAGAAACTCAAATGAATGAACATTAGCGAGCGTAAACGAACAATATAAACGGACGTTCACGAACATAATTGAACGAACAATATTATTTTTTATGTTCTTTTGTTTTACTAGATGAACGAGAACTAGTGTTCATGTTCCCTTCATTTATTAAATAAACGAACTTCTCACCGAATAGTTCACGAAGAGTTTGCTAAAAGTTCGGTCTTTTTACAACCCGAATTATATTTGTTGAAAAGTAAAATACTTGATTAATGATTATAACATTTTAGAAACTTAGTATCTTTGGATTAATTTTTTTAGAATTATATTAAATTATGGATTGTAATCATGTTGAATCTCAACATTTTTGGAGAATAAATATTTTAAATCATCTAATTCTATATCATATAATTCTTAATATTAAATAAAAAAACTTACACGTAACACCTTATTCCAAATCATTTCCTAATACGGGGCCATGACCCGAAGACCGGTTATCATAAGATTTAGGGCCTTTGAGAAAGATGGATTAAGACCCATTTGGGTGTGGATAAGGTAGGATAGATGACATGGGAATTCGGTTTGCGATTTGTAGCCCAAGGGTATAACCGTAAAGTGACAGTCTGACTTTTTTTAAATTTTGGATATTTATTCGGAAAGTTGTAAGGATAGGATGAGTTGATAGAAGTGTAGAGTTTCTGATTACCTTTATGGAGATATAAGGATCGTTGAAAATGAACTTAGAACGAGAAGTTATGGCTTTCGGAAATTTGGTGGTTCAAGAGATAAACCTAGTACGTGGGGCGTGCATATGTGTAAGTTAGGTGTACTACTATTGAGCCTAGTATTCTAGGTGTACATGGGAGTACACGAGGAGTACTAGGCAGATTGTTTTGTGTATTCCTAAGGGAGTAGGCTAGGCATAACAAAAGTACGTTGGGCGTAGTCACCACCAAACCCTATTATCTTTAGCCTCCATCCCCTTCAACCCTAGAAATGAAACCCTAACCTCCATTTGTATTGTTTTTGAGTTTTTGGTGGGATTTCATGCATTTTGGTGCTTATAGAATAATGAGGAGCTTCTTGGAGAAGTGTGGGATTGCATAGAGCTTGTGGATCAAAGCTTAGTGTATATTGATCTACCTTCTTAACGTATAAAGCTTCAAACTTGATGACTCTATTCATAGATCTTGTTTTGGCATAGTTTCAAAAAAAATTATCCGAACATTCGGATATTTATAAGTGTGGAGTACTCCAAAGAAAATTAATTGTACTTTTTGAGGTCTTGAAGTGTATTGAGCCAAAGAAATGCTTGCTTGATCATTTTCTTAGCACCATGCTAGAGTTAAGCGGTTTTGAGTGCTGTTAAAGGAAGGATTTTGGAGATTTAGCCATCTTTATCCATGCAAAGGCTTAAAGAATTCAACTTTATGGTTTAAGACATCATTTAGGGTTAAGAGAAGTGGTTGGATGCCTTTCACTTAACCGAATAAGAGCTTAATGTGAATTTTTGTCCCCTGATGAATACAATAGCCGTACTCAGAATTACGCTTAGCGTAAATTAAGTTTCATGCTTTAGGGACTTCTATATTATGCTTAGAAGGTGAGTACACAGGGCGTACACTTCTGGTAAGCGGGGCGTACTCCCAAGGATGTGTAACATTGGGTCTATTGGATTTGGGCCTTGTTGGGCCCTTGGATATTTGACCTTGGGCCATGGACTAATTATAGGCTTTCTTGGAATTTGATTCATGATGGTTTTGGGCCCAATTAGGAAGTTGGACCATATCGGGCCTTGGTTTTGGGCCTAGTAAGAAAAACGGTAAAATGGTCGTTTACCTTATTCATTAGGCAAGTAATTTTTATTCTTGATTATGGGTCGAGATTCAATTATTAATTGGATGGTATTTGATGGTGCTAGCGCGTGGGGATTTCTGGATCAGTGGTTCGAGCATTTTTCTGCGATATTTAGCAGCTTCAGGTGTGTGCTCCTCACTGTACTTACGTGTTGAAGGCACCAAGGTCGGCCCTGTGGTTTGATATCTTGCTATTTTCTAGTATGTTGAGTATGGAATAGATACATATGGTTATGCTAGTTGTCGATATGCTAGTCTGGTAGATCTATAGAACTACCTGTGATTATGTCTGCATGATTATCTATTATATGTTGTTATCTATTATATGGCGACATATTGTGTTGGGTTGAGGTTGTACTGCTTCGTGCTGTAGCCAAAAAAACCGTGGAGCATTCCAGAGATGAATTGAGCATCGTGTAGGGCATACCAGACTCATACTGAGGGCTCAAGTGCATTCCGAATACGAGTTGAGGATCGGGTGGTATGCTAGACTCGTACTAAGGGCTTGAGGGTATTTCAGTCTGATGATTGATTTGGTCAGGGAACAAGCTAGACATAAGTTGTGGACCCCAGGGGGCAAGCCAAACTAATTTATGGGCTTTGGAGCAAGCCAGATATAAGTAGAGGGTATGATAGACAATCCATAATCATATTATGGTCTCATGGGTAGTCCAGTCTTTTAATTGTGGATCCAGTACGTCCTGTTATTTTCATATGTTATATGTTTGTTTGTTGGTACTTAAGGGGAACTCACTAAGCTCCGTGCTTATAATTTCATTTTATTGTTTCAAGTGTTTCAGATGATTGTGACAAGGCGAAGGCATGACCCTATACATCCTTGGTTTTACTACTGACTAGATGTTGGGAGAATCTAATTTTAAATCATCTTTTGGAACGATGGTTTTATAAACACTTTTAATATTAAATGGGTTGTTTTGAAAAGTTTACATTTATTGAAATTTTCGAGATGTTACAAGTTAGTATCAGAGCCTTGGTTTGAGTGAATTGGAGGAACACTCGTGTGAATCCAGTCTCAAACTAAGGAAAAGGGTTTTAAAAAAATTATTTTCAAAGTTGTTTTCAAAATAACCAAAAGAGGATGTGATGTGTACAACGAGCTGGAGCCAGTAAATAGACCCCAATTTACCACACTGTTATTTGATGTTGTGCTATGTTAGAACAACATGCTAATGATATGTAACAACCCAATTTTCAAAGGAAAATTTTTCATTTTTAATTATCCAAACACATTTCCATAAATTACAAAATCCCATATATAATTCTTTTCAAACTCATATCAATTACATCTTTTATTTAAAATATCAGAGTGTCTCATAGACGTCTGTGTGAGAGTGCACGTCGTGCCATCAAGCCTTACCATTGCCCTTGGGATCTGATGTACCTGAAACAAATCCACAACCTATAAGCTAATGCTTAGTGAGCTCCCCAGAGCATACCCTGCACACAATCCACATAATACATATCATATTAGCTATGAAGGTACATATACTACATAAGCCATGCATATATAAACCTATAAGGATGTCGTGGGCTCCCCCCATGGTCTTATACTTTCATCCCATAGGCTACCCCACATGGTCTTTACCTAAGAATGCCATGGGCTACCCCACATGGTCTTACATCCAACTACCATGGGCTCCCCTCAGGGTCTTTCATGCAATAACATACATAATCAACTAGCGTGTCATATAACAGAAGTGTCTACCATACTACATACATATACATACACTTGTAAGGATGTCGTGGGCTCCACTCAGGGTCTTATACTATCGTGTCATGGGCTACCCCACATGGTCTTTACCTGGGAATGCCATGGGCTACCCCACATGCTCTTATGTCCAACTGCCACGGGCTTCCCCAGGGTCTTCCATGCAATA